AACATTTTGTTTTTTTAATAAAAAATATGTATTAGAACATGTTAGAACAATGAGGTCACTTTGTCTAAATTACTATTCATAATTAAAAAAATTGATCTTCTTCAACAACCATTTGCACTTGTGGTTGATGATGTCTGTATATTCAACCATTTTGTCACGTTCCAGTAGTTCTCATAACTCGAGTTAATGAGAAACTTTAAGAATGTCATGTCAACTCAATGAGCTTTGGAGTTTACATTGATAAACTAATTTTTGATTAAATCAATTGCTTATATTTGACGTTGCCAAAAACACAATTACATAATCTGTTTTGCGTTGTGAATTTGATACCATGTAGAAACCCACCTCGTCTCGTATTTAAACTACTCTCTCGCACTTGAGCGGTTAGAAGAGGTACAAAAATGAACCTTATACGATTTTTGGACGAGTAAATGAAATGAAAAAAGAAGTTTGACCAGATGGTAAGCACATCATAGCATTTACACATCCAAAGTGGAAAGTATATGAATTGTAGGAGTGAGAAACATGTTTAACGTAGGAAAGACTACCTCATCATCATCATCATCATCATCATGATACTCAACAAACAACTTCTGTCAATGAATGAATAGATAACTAAAGAGTATTGGGAAGTTGCCAAACCAAACTGTTATGGGATGAGTTCAGCATGTTTTGTGGCGATGTATATATGTTGAAACAGAAGTAGGCAAAGACCACTCAATTGAAAAAGATACATAACGAATCCAAGACCTTCGTCCTCTAGTTTCCCTTCCCAACAACAGGGCGACCAATGAAAAAAAGAACATAGAAACTCTAACTGCTTTCACCAAATTCTCTATTATTGTTTTGAATAATTTGGTGGATGAACTGTTAATGTGTGGCAACAGGAAGGAGGCATCCTATGCAATACGGGAACTTGATGGACTTCAGCTTCAGCCAAATCATTGGTAAAAAAGAGCATTAGTTTTTTGTTGTTGTTAAAAGGTCATTCCTATTGTCAAAGAAACAGAGAGTATAATTTATAAAACATAAAAGTATAATTTTAATTCCAAATTATACATTTTTTTTTCATTTCATATAACTATTTGCAACTTGCTTTCATTTTCTTTTACAGTATTCTAATAGATATTCATTTATAATAATGAAGTATATTTAATCGAATAAAGTTTTTTTTTTTTTTTGGGCGTGAATGATAATGTTTAACGTTAAAACGTTAAAGAGTAAACTCTTATTTGAAGAATAATTATGAACTGGTGGGAAAATTTTGAGCTAAGCGGTCTTCTTTTCCACGGTTATTGCCGTCGTCACTCGGCCTCTTTTTGCCCGGAAGGCACAGTTTCCAGTTTCCATTGCTCTCTCATTAAGCTCGCAAGACAGTATTGAAGTATGGCCATAAATGAATGCAGAAGAAACGTTAGAAGTTAGAGCTGAGACAGATAAAAAGGAAGAAGAGTTAGCGAGAGATGCTTTGTTATGTGTGAGAGTTTGGATGGGGAGAAAAGGAAAGCTCCCTGCCCCTCAAAAAGACTACTTTTATCCAATTCAACAAAATTGCAGTAATGAAGATTCTTCAACCAAACGTGGGAATGGCCTTATCTTGATTGCAATAATGAGAAGAACTTTGATGAGAGATCGATACAGAGGAAAAGAGAGCCAAAAGATATGTGTTACAAAGTGCTTTTTCCTTTTCCTTAGATCTATAGCACAAACCAAGCATACCCTTTTTTCTATCCAACCCCATCTCCTGGTAGCACCCAGCTAACCCAGTCTCAAAATTCTATCAACCAAATGGAAAAGATCGAATTTTTACCAATTATTCTCTCTGTATGAGACTAACCCTTGATTGATTGAAAAGAAATAAGATGTGGGTGAGTCATAAATCCTCTAATTTAAGAGTCAACTAGTTGCTATCAAAGATCCAACAGATCTTAAGCTGATAATGAGCATTTGTTGGAGGGAAGAGACAGGCAAGGGTGGCAAGATCACTTGGCCTGCCTGCCAGCCAAGAACCTGAAAATCCATATTTTCTTTTGTTTTCTCAAGTAGTTTCAGCACTAAGCATATTGTGGCAAACACCAGAAAATCAGCAGCCCACTATGACAGATTTACTTCCCAAGTTCTAAAGCAGGGGGCCAAAAGAAGGAAAGGATAGGAATCTTCTGCAGCACAGCTAACAACTCAGAAGTGGATGCTCAACCCCACCAATATGCCAAATTGACTGCTAAATATATCAAATCAATCAATCAATGAAGTTCCAGAGAAAGTGAGGAATTGGTTGCTTCTTCATCAATTCGAAATTGTGTGCACGGGGCAAAATCCAACCACTGTTTCATGTGTTTCTGTACTAAAATTAGGCATATCAGTGGTGTGTGCTGCTCCTAGGGAGAAGTTCATTGCCATTTGAAAGCAGAAATTAGGTTGATACAGGAAAGTTTGTGCCGAAAGGGTTCTGCAAATTAACGATTCCAATTTCACACGAATCTTCCAAAACAAATCAAGGTTATTGGTAAAGTGAACTGATACACAATGCCTGATCTACGTATATGCTTGTGCTAATCCAGCCTCTAAATGCTAGAGGGGGATCTAAAAAAACAAAAAAGAAAGAAGGTAACAATCAAATATACAACACAGAGGATCCTCAAGCTCAGCATCTAAATGATGGTTTGAAAGGTACAACACAAATATAAACGCATTTCTGTCATTTCAGGCCACAAAGAAGATGAAAACCATCAGGAAAAAAATTATGATGGCAAAGATCTTGATTAGAAGCCACCTATTGGATGATATTTGGTTAAGATTACGCAGTAGAGCACTGTGAGCACCTTCAACATTGGACAGAGATTCATCCATGTTGTCATCAATTCTGGCAATTGATCATTAGTAGATTGTGTCAAAAGAAAAGAATCACGGTTCAAGAACCAAAAATAGTTGATGTCCAAAATGGACAAAGAGAAAGATAAGATACCTAATGGCCAGCTCTCCTTGATGGGCAACCATGGTAGCCAAATGCGTAAAGATCCCACTAAGTTCTGAGATGGTTGATTCCACATTGTGGAGAGCAGATGCACGACCTTGAGCTAAATTATCCTGCCTACTAGGGGCTACTTGTTGTAACATGGACATTTCCATCTGTTGGGAAGGAGCATTATCAACTGCTGGCCTCCGTCTGAGGATGGAAGTTCATTCAACCTTGCTCAGACAAATTAGAGAGTGCAGTTCGGCAAAAATTCTAATGAGCAAAAGTATTTAGATTAAAAAGGCTCAATGCCACAGCCCAATGCCACCCATGATGTTATCAGTTCATTTGCCTTTTGATTAGTAGGACGTGGTACAGGGTACTACCATTCTGGAATAAATGGAATGAAAAGTACACAAATGGATATTTTTTTACTAGATCCAGAATTATCAATTAGGAGCTTCCAAATCACCCTGACAGAGTTATACAATAAGACAATCGGGCAAGATATACAATAATCCATGACTAGAAAGGTGTGAAAGTACTGTATAATACGCACCTCAATTGGTTGCCAACTTGAACACCATTCGGTGGCAATCTGGTAGCAGCAATTAGATGGTCAAAGACAGGAGCTCTAGGTTAAACAGGATATTACAAGCGTGAGAAAGTTAACTTACGGGGATGGCTGCGAAGGGTCAAACTCGTTTGTTGAACTTGACCAGGGAGGTGGTTCAACCAAGGGTTTTGTCTGACGAACAAAAGGATTTTCTCTAGAAGCATTTGCAGAAAATATCTGCTTCCTGTTCTCATGAGCTTTGATGTTCTGAGAGTTGAAACAACCATAAGAAGGGGAAATGTAGTGTTGATAGAAGAGCAATCTAAAGAAAAAAAAATGGGGCATGGACATCTACCTCAGTTCTAGTGGTTAACACATTATGAAGCTCCTTTGTAGCCCCCATGAGCTTATTCTTCAGGTCATCACATACAGCCGTGGAATGAACAACCCTGTCCTCGGAGTAGTTCCCGTCAGCTATTTCCATTCTCTGTAGGGTCTGAAGATCAGTAAGAGCCGAGTTCAAAGCCGTTATGTCATTCTTTATAAGGACAGTCAGTTCTTGAATCTCAACTGTAGGGTCATCAAACATAGACGACCTCTTTGCCACTGCAGCACATTTGACACAAAACATCAAAACCCAATACAGCTAGTCAGCATTTACATAACCCATCCCCGAAATTCAAACTAAACAACAACCCAATTCGCCAATTTCACCGCTACAAATACTTTGATTTCAGTTGCTTAGCATCTCACAAGCAATTACTTTGAGCACTATTGAGACACAATATTTGAGAATCAAGATCCAACGGGCACATAGTGTTCAAATTCATCAACAGCAGAACATAAGCGACAGAGCATTTACCAATTAGCCCTACATCTAACAAGATCGACCAAAAGGGATCTTACATTTGGCAAGTCTAGCGATCTTCTCGGAGGTCTCATGAACTCCCAGCCCGATCAGGGAAGCCTTCTTGTTGAATTCGGATCTGTAAGAGAGCGACGAAGCTTGCTGCCTTGATGGCAGGAAAGGATCAGTTTCCTGAGATTGACCTCGATCGGGCTTGAACCCACTGATCTTCTTCAGCGTTTCGGTGAGTGATCGGAACTCCGCCGTCCGATCTCTGTACGCAGAAGCCATTCCCGCACAGTGGAAGAAGCTCTTTGCAGTGGCGGGCTCCGGTGGAGCGAATTTTGCTGTCGTAGAAGTATAGGTTCATTCATGGTTGTTGTTCTGCAACTTTCGGAAATTCGGTTCAGTTGCTGACTACCTTTGGTTGGGCTCGATGCACTGACCCCAGAGCCCCATACCAGTGGAGGCCCATGTAAAATGGATACTCCTAGGTTTTGATTTTTGATGGGCCTAAAACATCTCCGTTTGGGCCGAGAGTAACCTAAAGCAAATGCGACCGATCTAGGTAGGCAAACGTCAACCGTCCGATCTAGGTTACCCTGAAGAAAGAGGCTATAAATTGCGGCTGAAATACAACTCTCTCTAAGGCTATACACAATTTTGCCGTTTAGGGTTTTTAGCTCTTTGTAGTCTCCTTCCAGTTGCGCGCCGCGAGGTTAAAGAGACGCCACGCCGGTGTCCACCTTGACAGAGCTAAACCCTCGTCTTGGTCCTCGCTCTTGTGTTGTATACCCCTCTCCTCAGTCTTAGGGTTTTAGTGTTTTCTCCGTTTGTTGTAGAAAATCTAGAAACAGACAGCGAAAATGGTTGGGAAGCCGTCGAAGGCCGATAAGAAGCTCGCCTATGACTCCAAGATGTGTCAGCTCTTGGACGATTACAGCCAGGTCCTGATTGTGGCTGCAGACAATGTTGGATCGACCCAGTTGCAGAACATCAGGAAGGGTCTGAGAGGTGATTCGGTGGTGCTGATGGGGAAGAACACTATGATGAAGAGGACGATTAGGGTTCACTCTGAGAAGTCTGGCAACAAGGCTATTCTCAATCTGCTCCCCCTCCTTCAGGTAAAAAATAGTATTGAAAATGTTTGCTGTGTTTGTCTTGGGATATCATATTGAATTGTGTTTTGAACGTAGTATTATCTGTTAGGGTTTGTATGAGTCAATATCCGATTGAAACGTATCCTCATGGCTTGCCAGTCAAAGGGTTTAATGTGATACATGTAGCTACGATTTGCGTCTTCTTTGATAAGAATTTAGGTTAGTGCATTATGTCTCTGTTACCCTACACTGGAAGCTCTATGGTTTAGGTTCGAATGCATTTAGAAATGTGTCGCATTTAGAAATGTGTCTTCGCTTAATCGGACCTGGGGTTGTTGTAACAAATCAACCTGAACTGGAATGTTTAGTTTATTGTTTCTGAACCATTTTCCTTTGGATTTAGGGGAATGTTGGTCTGATTTTCACTAAAGGTGATCTGAAGGAAGTCAGCGAGGAAGTGGGAAAGTACAAGGTAAATTAGACTACTGACTCTTACTTTAATTATGGTATTATGTGGTTTCGTGGGATTCACTTATTCTAGTACATATGTCCTTTTGCTAACATATTGTTTTGACAAACGTATTTGCACCATCTGAATTTACAGGTTGGAGCCCCTGCTCGTGTTGGTCTGATTGCACCAATTGATGTTGTTGTTCCTCCCGGCAACACTGGACTCGATCCATCTCAGACATCTTTCTTCCAGGTTAGCCATTGCCCTATTGCGATGTCCTTATTTCTAATTTGCTTCTTTCTTAAAAATGGGACTTAATGTATTTCTCGTACGCTGCAGGTGCTGAACATTCCCACCAAGATTAACAAGGGTACTGTTGAAATCATCACCCCTGTGGAGCTGATTAAGAAGGGTGACAAGGTTGGGTCTTCAGAGGCTGCCCTGCTTGCCAAGCTTGGCATCAGGCCATTCTCTTATGGTCTGGTGGTCGAAAATGTTTATGACGATGGGTCTGTCTTCAGCCCTGAGGTTCTCGATCTGACTGAGGATGACCTCATGGGGAGGTTTGCCTCTGGTGTCTCCATGGTTACTGCACTCTCACTCGCCATTGCATACCCAACACTGGCTGCTGCTCCTCACATGTTCGCCAATGCCTACAAGAATGTCTTGGCCATTGCCGTGGAGACTGATTACACCTTCCCTCAGGCAGAGCAAGTGAAAGAGTACTTGAAGGTTTGATTCCCTTCTGAAATTTACTGATAGGATAATATGTATTTCATTGTCTTGTTTGTTAATTAGTTTGAATGTTTTTGCTATGAAGGATCCTAGCAAGTTCGCTGTTGCTGCTGCCCCTGCTGCAGCCAGCGGCGGTGCTGCTGCTGCACCTGCTGCTGCGAAGGAAGAGGAGAAGAAACCAGAGCCTGAAGAGGAGTCGGATGAAGATGGTTTGGGCTTCAGTCTGTTTGACGATTAAGTTTTCCCCAAACCAGTTGTTATCTTGTTGTAGGACACCCGCAAAGTTTTGGTTTGTGGTTGATAATATCGGATTTGGTTCACAGTCTAAATTTTGCTGCACTGATTTATTTTCCTGTTCAGACGTTTAAAATGCTGTTGCTAGTTATTAATCGAATCCTGTTTTTACTTGATCCATCCTTGCATTCTGCTTTGTCTTCACGGGAGGTACTGTTTTTGTATGTTCATTTTTTAGCTCGCGGTACGAGTAAAATAATCCTTGGTACTTTCGAACTAAAGTTTGTAGCATCTTTCTCATTAGATGTGTGTCGATTTTCCCAGTCAACTTGAAAGCAATGTGAATCTGAAATGGGCAAAAACTTAAGTAGTATCTTCTGGGAAAAATTCGATATTAATCTGAGCTGGAATTTACGTTGTTGTTGTTTGAGTTCCACATTTCAATCTTCAACGAGATGAGTCGAGCGTCACTGATGGTAGTTGGCAAATCGAGATAAAAAGAAATCTTTAAGAGCAGGTATAAGAAAACGGGAGATCAGTCACATAACAGATCAAGAGAACGGGAAAAAGAAAAGAATCCTACTTTGACAGGGGAACGTCTCCTAACCCACTACGATAATCTATGTATCTTCCTCCCTGTATTTCTCCTATATAATGAATGAAGATATCGAGGGCTGTGTGGATCTTCATGCTCCATTCTCTAATGCTCGTGGTTTACAGCCTCATCTCCTACAGTATCTTCTTTCTCTCCACCTTGGATATTTGTTGCTGTCCATCCCGTTCGTCTTCTGGCTGATGCAGAATAGGGCAATCCGAATCTTGACCAAATTAATCGACAAACGTATCCGGCGACATGAGGATCCAGTTATCAAACAAAGAATCCTCGAGTTGAAGGCCTCCTCATCCTCGGCCTCGATCGTGCCTAGTCCCGTGGCTTCGATTCCTTACGTTTTGGGCGTCAATGCAATGAAGATATCGGGGAAGATGTGGACCCTTGGTCTGCTAACAACCTATGTTGTCGGCGTCATACGCATCACAAACGTGCCCGAAGATGATGATGGCAAGTTGGAGTTGGCGAAATCCGTCGGTCTCGTCTGTGTGTGGATTTGCTGCCTCGCCTCGATTTGTCTGCGGATTGTTCCGATCCTACGACTCATGAAGATGCATGATGGACTTACCCGCTTACATACGGAAGATCCTGTTATCAGGAAAAGGAACTTGCAGTTGAAGAAGAAGGAGAAGAAGAAGAGATACAAGGAGAATAGGAAGAACAAGATGAAGAACTCCTCCTCCGTTTCGGTGGACTCTGCTGGGTTAACGTAGGATTAGGCTTAGCTAGCTAGCCCTAGCCAGCTTGGGTTAGTTTAATTTATTAATTTCTTTTTCGAGTTATTCCTGTTGTTGCCACGACTTTGTTTGCACTTTGCTAGCCCTAGCCAGCTTGGGTTAGTGTCTCGGATTTACTTTTGTGCCGCTGAAACTATCGGATTGGGTCATCGTATATGATACTAGCTATTTAACCCACATTACACAACGGGTACATTGTATATAAGAGAATTAAAGTAAGCAAAGCTTGATCCAGACTTTGGCAAAGGAATTGTGTTTTAAGAGTTCAATCATCTTATTCTTCGTTAGTGTGGGTGTGTGCAATGGCGGATTCAGGAATTTTAAATAGGGTGTCCTCTTAAAAAAAAATTAAAAAAATTAAATCAAATAATTATTAAATATGAAAATATTCAACTAGTAAAAGTTCAAATAAAAGTTCAAACATGTTCGATATTATGAAAGAATGGTAAAATACATTCGGTGTATACACTGCTCAACAAATCTCTCGTGACATATCCCTCTCAGGAGAGAGAGGGATGCTGATGTCATGTTGATGTGAACGAGTTACTCATGGTTACTCACAATAAGATTACTGACCTGATCCGTTCCCCACAAAGTGGATGCAAATCTAAGCAACCTTCTTGCAATTTGGTCAATTGAGTTTCATGTTCATACACGAACAAGACAGGTAGGTCGTAACGTCCGGTTTGAGTTGGCCAATAAGGGTTCATAACTTGGAGGTGTATCTCTGTAGAAGCGGCAATCATCGTGGTAAAATAAATTATATTAATTAATTAATTTTAATAAATTACATTTTAAGTAGTTACAAAATACAACGACATTACACATCACTCATCAGCAGTACCCTTTAAATTGCAATTGCAATTTGCAATTGCAATTGCAACATAGGTGCCCTTGCAATTCGAGGCTCTAACAACAGAAAGGCTGTTTTATAATTGGAGAGGCCCAAACAAGACAATCAGCCCACCGATCCATAAACCCAAACCCCTCCATGCCGGCCCAGTAGAATCCTTTGCAGTCATTGATATCATTTCAGTTCCGTAAAAAGAAAAACGGGAAAAGAAAAGAATCCTATCTCGGATCGGATAGGAGAAGCTACTCCTAAATTCAAGCCAGACCGCCACCGACGATTCTATATATAGACAAAAGAACAGAGTATGATGAACATCGATCCATCTCTCCTCGGCCGGCCGCTTGCATCTTCCTCTCTGCGCACAGAACAGAATGACGAAGACATCGAGAATGATTTGGCTCTCCGTCCTGTCTGTCATCGGCCTCGACGGCTTCGTCTTCTTGATGAACATCCTGTTCGAATACGTTCACAAATTGGATGGTTTCCCAAGAAACCTCATCTCCGGAACTATAATCGCAGCCTTTCTGGTCTCCCTAACTTGCGTCTACTTTATGACAGCCGCACGCCTCGTGATTGAGGAGAAGAAGCAGAAGGAACTCATCCGCCTACTCAAAGTTGATTCGGTCCTCAAAAACAGAGTCCTTGAGCTGAAGAAGCACAAAGGAGGAGGCCCCTCCTTCCCTGCGGCGGCGGCGGCTTCCGTCGATCGAATCGAGACATCGGAGAAGATTTGGATCGCCATTCAACTGTTTGTGATGCTCTGTTATGTCGTCGACAAGGGCTTGAGTGTGTGGTTGAACATCTCGTTCGGGTTGGCAGAGGACTTTCCGGCAAACCTCATCTACCGATGCACGACGGCATTGACTCTGTTCTACGCAGTTCGTCCGTATAGAATGAAGTCCCAACTCGTCGAGAAGAAGCAGGATCAACTTAATCGTCTACTGCCTGATCCAATTGTCAGAAACAGAGTCCTTGAGTTGGAGGAGGAGAAGAAGAAGAAGACCTCCTCCTTCGCAGCTTCGTTCGACCGTGAGATTGCTGCCAACTTTTTGTTCGCAGTTTCATTATCATCATTTATGGTTTGTTGTGACTATTATGGTGATGACATTCGGTCCGCTTTAGGGATTGTTTAGGGAATCGTCTTAATTATAAAAGTGTTCTAGGGAGGAAGTTTCTTTCAGTAGTAAGTTGTTGAACTCTCGGATTATGTTTTTTCCGGTTCTAGGTATAGTGATTACTAGTCTTCATTACCCGCGCTCCGCGCTGGGATTTGAGGCCTACCGAAGATATATAATTGGATCATTTTGTGTTTCAAGAGATATATATCATGATATGACTGATTTAATGTTGGTTTAGCGCTGATGGTTTACATTATCAGTTTAAAATCTCAAGGAAGCCACGAAGAAGTGGATTTTCACAATGGTATACAGTTGTTGGATTGTGCTGCAATAAAATGAGCAGCATCAGGTTCTATCGTATGTATGATCAAATGAAGAAAAGACCAAATCATAACTTGTAAGATATCAGTCCTCTGAGAAATTTTAAAATCATTTAGACTATTTACAAATTGTGGTTTAATATGTAAAGCAGAAATATAGTAGAGACAAAATCCATATACAATTGTTAACATCAAATAATACTAAATTTTTTATTGAAGAATTTCTGTTACAAAACCAAATCCAGACAAATATGGAAAATCTCGTGGGGATCTAACCCACTGGTACATATTGTGCAACTAATTTGACCATTTAATAACCAAAACTACCTCCGGACACCTGCATATAAGATAACAGAAAGGAACAGAACTTCAATTGCTGCTCATTAGTATTCTCAGAGAAGAAAAGGTAAGGATTGTCACAAACTAAATGAGATGACACTAATATGTTCAAACACTCAAGTAACCACTGATTTGTAACTCTTTTGGATGGCCATACATTCAGAACACAGGTAATATCATAGTGGATCAGTGGAACTATTCCAATCACAAAATGAAGTTCCCTAACCATCCATGACCACAACCTAGCAAATTTATTTGTAAAGAAAATAAGACCAGCAACTTTAAAAGGGAAAAACAACATGGACAGTAAAGCTAATAAAGAAAAATCCCTCACCCTCAATCCGTAGCTTACCATTTAAACATAAGAACGCATAATCTACAAATAGAATGAGAAGAAATAGAGCAGTTAGTAATCACACCATTATCAGGAAATCCAATGACAAAAGCTTCGGAGGAATAGTGACAAATCACATGAGACCATCAAAGCAGCTTAGAAAATGATTCCGAGAAGGTTCACATCACCACCACCATCATACGTACACACAACCAAACAAATATCAGATAACAAAAAGAAAGTAAGAAATCGAAATCGGAACCAATTCGGAAAAGAAATCATCGGAGTATATACATGACTGTTGGAAGGCAAAAACACAGGGTAAAAGTCAGAAAAAGGCAACGTACCAAATGGTGTGCCAGAACTTTGGCGTCTGGAAAACTGGTGGTGATGTTGTAGGATTAGGAAAGATCAAACCAAACCCAAACATTTGCTTCCAACAAAGGCTACTGCAATAATTCAGCAGATAGGATATATAAGATTCATATATGAGAATCGAAGATGCTCAAGAAAAAGCGACCACTACAAACCTCACCATTAAATATCTTCCTGGGTCTCCTCCCAATTTTTTGACTTCTACCATCACCATCGCAGCTTCAACAAACGCCGGAAATCAATTAGTCTTCAACGTTTGCATCGGCGTCAAAGAAAGAGTCCCCACCGACTTGATCTCAGCGAGGAGAGGAGAGGAGAGGAGAGGAGAGGAGAGGAAGAGACCAAACCCATGATAGATAGAGCAACCACCTGAAGAATAAAATTTTCCCTTGAAACATGCAGATCCATCGACCAATGTGCGCCTTCCTCTTGTAGATAATGCAGCGGTAGCAAAAAATGGGTTCCCCATCTTGTCAATCTCCTGTAGGAGTTCGATTTTAACAGCCCATCTCACAACGCTTCAAACCGAATGCCATAGGCTGGGAAAAGCTTAATGAACCATAGCATTTTTTAATCTACTAACACCCCTAGATGTCGTCGTTGAATCGCCCGCCCGGATCTCCTCTAAAAGAACCCGACAGGTCTAGAAGATGAACAAAATGCAAAAAGAGTGAAGATGATAAATCAGGGAGAGGATAAATCACCTGAAATCAAAGACAGAACCGGCTTGCCTGGATCTTACCCGGATCCTTACCGGAACTCTCAAAACCGCCTCTTTATCGCTTTCAAATCCGTCCATCTCCTAAGAAGAGAGACCAGAAAAAACAACATAGATAGGAGATGGAAAGAAAGAGAGAGCGAGAAGTAGATAAGATAGAGGAGTGAAAAGAGTTCTGAATTCTTATCTTTAATTTACACTGCACTCCCTCCCTTATCCTGATTTGGCCCACTTTCTCTCTTGGCAACCGGGCTGAATTAGGTGGAATATGTGGTAGAAAAAGGGGCACATCAACCAACGGCGGGCTTCCCAACTTTGCCAACCCCAAGGTGAGAGAATTCGCCGAGTGATCAACGCGTGAGAGGGGACGTAAAGTAACCGTAACCAAAAAGGAAACTATGATAAAAACGCAACTGACCCACCTAGTTTCATTCGTTTCCAATGAGCCCTCACCAAATGGCCGCCCACACCAAGATCCCTTCCCAGTCGAAACAGTAATTATGAGTCACTAAGCACAGTAAAAGGTCTCTTGGGCTACAGGGAATGGGGATGTTGGGGGTTTTCTTTTTTCAATTATGTAAGTTGTCGGCATGGATGAGTTTAATTTGTTGATTTTCTTTCCGAATTATTGATTTTTTTTGGTGTGTTGCAGCTATAATTTAGTTAATGAGAAAATCAAACATTTTATGACTTGTCAACTAAATCAATAAACAACTATGTAATGTATAGGAAACTCGATATAAGAAATTGTGTGATGGTTTGATAGCATGGTCCATTAAACCGTACGGTATCGGTGGTTCAACCACGAAATAACAGTATCGGAGGCTAAACCGGTAGGCGGTATTTAACGATCGAACGATTGAACAACTAGTTAAACCACGATATTATCATAAAATATCATATTGCTGACTTTTCCGGT